GTGGTAGTGTGGCCCTGTGTGGGTGGTAGTGTGGCCCTGGTGGGTGGTGGTGTGGCCCTGGTGATGGGTGGTGGTGTGGCCCTGGTGGGGTGGTGGTGTGGCCCTGGTTGGTGGTGGTGTGGTGGTGGTGTGGTGTGGTGGTGGGTGGTGGTGTGGCCCTGGTGATGGGTGGTGGTGTGGCCCTGGTGGGTGGTGGTGTGTGGCCCTGGTGATGGGTGGTGTGTGGCCCTGGTGGGTGGTGGTGTGGCCCTGGTGGGTGGTGGTGTGGCCCTGGTGGGGTGGTAGTGTGGCCCTGGTGGGTGGTGGTGTGGCCCTGGTGATGGGTGGTGTGGCCCTGGTGGGGTGGTAGTGTGGCCCTGGTGGGTGGTGGTGTGGCCCTGGTGGTGGGTGGTGTGGTGGCCCTGGTGGGTGGTGGTGTGGCCCTGGTGGTGGTGTGGCCCTGGTGGGTGGTAGTGTGGCCCTGGTGGGTGGTGGTGTGGCCCTGGTGGGTGGTGGTGTGTGGCCCTGGTGGGTGGTGGTGTGGCCCTGGTGGGTGGTGGTGTGGCCCTGGTGGGTGGTAGTGTGGCCCTGGTGGGTGGTAGTGTGGCCCTGGTGGGTGGTGGTGTGGCCCTGGTGGGTGGTGGTGTGGCCCTGGTGGGTGGTGGTGGTGTGGCCCTGGTGGGTGGTAGTGTGGCCCTGGTGGGTGGTGGTGTGGCCCTGGTGGGTGGTGGTGTGGCCCTGGTGGGGTGGTGTGGTGGTGTGGCCCTGGTGGGGTGGTGGTGTGGTGGTGTAGCCCTGGTGGTGGGTGGTGGTGTGGCCCTGGTGGGTGGTGGTGTGTGGGTGGTAGTGTGGCCCTGGTGGGTGGTAGTGTGGCCCTGGTGGGTGGTGGTGTGGCCCTGGTGGGTGGTGGTGTGTGGCCCTGGTGGGTGGTGGTGTGGCCCTGGTGGGTGGTGTGTGGCCCTGGTGGGTGGTAGTGTGGCCCTGGTGGGTGGTGGTGTGGCCCTGGTGGGGGTGGTGGTGTGGCCCTGGTGGGGGTGGTAGTGTGGCCTGGTGGGTGGTAGTGTGGCCCTGGTGGGTGGTGGTAGTGTGGCCCTGGTGGGTGGTAGTGTGGCCCTGGTGGGTGGTGGTGCCCTGGTGGGTGTGTGGCCCTGGTGGGTGGTAGTGTGGCCCTGGTGGGTGGGTAGTGTGGCCCTGGTGGGTGGTAGTGTGGCCCTGGTGGGTGGTAGTGTGGCCCTGGTGGGTGGTAGTGTGGCCCTGGTGGGTGGTGGTGTGGCCCTGGTGGGTGGTAGTGTGGCCCTGGTGGGTGGTGGTGTGGCCCTGGTGGGTGGTGGTGTGGCCCTGGTGGGTGGTAGTGTGGCCCTGGTGGGTGGTGGTGTGGCCCTGGTGGGTGGTGGTGTGGCCCTGGTGGGTGGTGGTGTGGGTGGTAGTGTGGCCCTGGTGGGTGGTGGTGTGGCCCTGGTGGGTGGTAGTGTGGCCCTGGTGGGTGGTAGTGTGGCCCTGGTGGGTGGTAGTGTGGCCCTGGTGGGTGGTGGTGTGGCCCTGGTGGGTGGTAGTGTGGCCCTGGTGGGTGGTGGTGTGGCCCTGGTGGGTGGTGGTGTGGCCCTGGTGGGTGGTGGTGTGGCCCTGGTGGGTGGTGGTGTGGCCCTGGTGGGTGGTAGTGTGGCCCTGGTGGGTGGTGGTGTGGCCCTGGTGGGTGGTAGTGTGGCCCTGGTGGGTGGTGGTGTGGCCCTGGTGGGTGGTAGTGTGGCCCTGGTGGGTGGTGGTGTGGGCCCTGGTGGGTGGTAGTGTGGCCCTGGTGGGTGGTGGTGTGGCCCTGGTGGGTGGTAGTGTGGCCCTGGTGGGTGGTGGTGTGGCCCTGGTGGGTGGTAGTGTGGCCCTGGTGGGTGGTGTGGCCCTGGTGGGTGGTAGTGTGGCCCTGGTGGGTGGTGTAGCCCTGGTGGGTAGTGTGGCCCTGGTGGGTGGTAGTGTGGCCCTGGTGGGTGGTAGTGTGTCCCTGGTGGGTGGTAGTGTGGCCCTGGTGTGTGGTGGTGGGTGGCCTGGGTGGTGGTGTGGCCCTGGTGGGTGGTGGTGTGGCCCTGGTGGGTGGTAGTGTGGCCCTGGTGGGTGGTAGTGTGGCCCTGGTGGGTGGTAGTGTGGCCCTGGTGGGTGGTGGTGTGGCCCTGGTGGGTGGTAGTGTGGCCCTGGTGGGTGGTAGTGTGGCCCTGGTGGGTGGTAGTGTGGCCCTGGTGGGTGGTAGTGTGGCCCTGGTGGGTGGTAGTGTGGCCCTGGTGGGTGGTAGTGTGGCCCTGGTGGGTGGTAGTGTGGCCCTGGTGGGTGGTGGTGTGGCCCTGGTGGGTGGTAGTGTGGTCCTGGTGGTTGGTGGTAGTGTGGCCCTGGTGGGTGGTAGTGTGGCCCTGGTGGGTGGTAGTGTGGCCCTGGTGGGTGGTAGTGTGGCCCTGGTGGGTGGTAGTGTGGCCCTGGTGGGTGGTGGTGTGGCCCTGGTGGGTGGTGGTGTGGCCCTGGTGGGTGGTGGTGTGGCCCTGGTGGGTGGTGGTGTGGCCCTGGTGGGTGGTGGTGTGGCCCTGGTGGGTGGTGGTGTGGCCCTGGTGGGTGGTGGTGTGGCCCTGGTGGGTGGTGGTGTGGCCCTGGTGGGTGGTGGTGTGGCCCTGGTGGGTGGTGGTGTGGCCCTGGTGGGTGGTGGTGTGGCCCTGGTGGGTGGTGGTGTGGCCCTGGTGGGTGGTGGTGTGGCCCTGGTGGGTGGTAGTGTGGCCCTGGTGGGTGGTGGTGTGGCCCTGGTGGGTGGTGGTGTGGCCCTGGTGGGTGGTGGTGTGGCCCTGGTGGGTGGTGGTGTGGCCCTGGTGGGTGGTAGTGTGGCCTGTGGGTGGTGGTGTGGGCCCTGGTGGGTGGTAGTGTGGCCCTGGTGGGTGGTGGTGTGGCCCTGGTGGGTGGTGGTGTGGCCCTGGTGGGTGGTGGTGTGGCCCTGGTGGGTGGTAGTGTGGCCCTGGTGGGTGGTGGTGTGGCCCTGGTGGGGGGTGGTGGTGTGGCCCTGGTGGGTGGTGGTGTGGCCCTGGTGGGTGGTGGTGTGGCCCTGGTGGGTGGTGGTGTGGTCCTGGTGGGTGGTGGTGTGGCCCTGGTGGGTGGTGGTGTGGCCCTGGTGGGTGGTGGTGTGGTCCTGGTGGGTGGTGGTGTGGCCCTGGTGGGTGGTGGTGTGGCCCTGGTGGGTGGTGGTGTGGCCCTGGTGGTGGTGGTGTAACCATGGTGATGGGTGGTGGTGTGGCCCTGGTGGGTGGTGGTGGTGGGTCCTGGTGGGTGGTGGTGTGGCCCTGGTGGTGGGTGGTGGTGTGGTCCTGGTGGGTGGTGGTGTGGCCCTGGTGGTGGTGTGGTGGTGGTGTGGTGGTGTGGCCCTGGTGGGTGGTGGTGTGGCCCTGGTGGGTGGTGGTGTGGCCCTGGTGGGTGGTGGTGTGGCCCTGGTGGGTGGTGGTGTGGCCCTGGTGGGTGGTGGTGTGGCCCTGGTGGGTGGTGGTGTGGGTAGTGTGGCCCTGGTGGGTGGTGGTGTGGCCCTGGTGGGTGGTGGTGTGGCCCTGGTGGGTGGTGGTGTGGCCCTGGTGGGTGGTGGTGTGGCCCTGGTGGTGGGTGGTGGTGTGGTCCTGGTGGGTGGTGGTGTGGCCCTGGTGGGTGGTGGTGTGTGCCCTGGTGGTTGTGGTGGTGTGGCCCTGGTGGGTGGTAGTGTGGCCCTGGTGGTTGGTGGTGGTGTGGCCCTGGTGGTGGGTGGTGGTGTGGCCCTGGTGGTGGGTGGTGGTGTGGCCCTGGTGGTGGGTGGTGGTGGGTCCTGGTGGGTGGTGGTGTGGCCCTGGTGGTGTGGTGGTGGTATGGTCCTGGTGGGTGGTGGTGTGGCCCTGGTGGTTGGTGGTGGTGTGGCCCTGGTGGGTGGTGGTGTGGCCCTGGTGGTTGGTGGTGGTATGGTCCTGGTGGGTGGTGGTGTGGCCCTGGTGGTTGGTGGTGGTGTGGCCCTGGTGGTGGTGGTGGTATGGGTCCTGGTGGGTGGTGGTGTGGCCCTGGTGGTTGGTGGTGGTATGGTCCTGGTGGGTGGTGGTGTGGCCCTGGTGGTTGGTGGTGGTGTGGTGGTGGGTGGTGGTGTGGCCCTGGTGGTTGGTGGTGGTATGGTCCTGGTGGGTGGTGGTGTGGCCCTGGTGGTTGGTGGTGGTGTGGCCCTGGTGGTTGGTGGTGGTATGGTCCTGGTGGGTGGTGGTGTGGCCCTGGGTTGGTGGTGGTGGGTCCTGGTGGTGGTGGTGTGGCCCTGGTGGTTGGTGGTGGTGTGGCCCTGGTGGGTGGTGGTGGGCCCTGGTGGGTGGTGGTGTGGTGGTTGGTGGGTGGTGGTGTGGCCCTGGTGGGGTGGTGGTGTGGCCCTGGTGGTGGGTGGTGGTGTGGCCCTGGTGGGTGGTGGTGTGGCCCTGGTGGTGGTGGTGGTGGTGTGGCCCTGGTGGTTGGTGGGTGGTGGTGTGGCCCTGGTGGTTGGTGGTGTGGCCCTGGTGGGTGGTGGCCCTGGTGGGTGGTGGTGTGCCCTGGTGGTGGTGGTGTGGTGGTTGGTGGTGGTATGGTCCTGGTGGGTGGTGGTGCCCTGGTGGTTGGTGGTGTGGCCCTGGTGGGGGTGGTGGTGTGGCCCTGGTGGGTGGTAGTGTGGCCCTGGTGGGTGGTAGTGTGGCCCTGGTGATGGATAGTGGTGTGGCCCTGGTGATTGCTGGTGGTGTAGCCCTGGTGGGTGGTAGTGTGGCCCTGGTGATGGATAGTGGTGTGGCCCTGGTGGTGGATGGTAGTGTGGCCCTGGAACTGGTTGCAGCAGACCTGGAGAAGTGGGAGCCGTGAGAGGAAGCAATAATCACACACAGAACAGCTTTGAGTTGTGTCTGTGAGGGAGAGCCAATATTATTTTGCTGAAATTGAATCTCGACCGTTGGGCGTCGTGTTGTAAGAGTCCCCTGTTGGTCCCGTTAGTCCTGCAGGCCCCGTTGGTCCCGTTAGTCCTGCAGGCCCCGTTGGTCCCATTAGTCCTGCAGGCCCGTTGGTCCCGTTAGTCCTGCTGGTCCCGTTAGTCCTGCTGGTCCCGTTGGTCCCGTTAGTCCTTCTGGTCCCGTTAGTCCTGCAGGTCCCGTTGGTCCCGTTAGTCCTGCTGGTCCCGTTGGTCCCATTAGTCCTATTAATCCCGTTAGTCCTGCTGGTCCCGTTGGTCCCGTTAGTCCTGCTGGTCCCGTTGGTCCGTTAGTCCTGCTGGTCCCGTTGGTCCCGTTAGTCCTGCAGGCCCCGTTGGTCCCGTTAGTCCTGCAGGCCCCGTTGGTCCCGTTAGTCCTGCAGGCCCCGTTTGTCCCGTTAGTCCTGCTGGTCCCGTTGGTCCCGTTAGTCCTGCTGGTCCCGTTGGTCCCGTTAGTCCTGCTGGTCCCGTTGGTCCCATTAGTCCTGTTGGTCCCGTTAGTCCTGCTGGTCCCGTTGGTCCCGTTAGTCCTGCTGGTCCCGTTGGTCCATTAGTCCTTCTGGTCCCGTTGGTCCCATTAGTCCATCTGGTCCCGTTGGTCCCGTTAGTCCTGGTGGTCCCGTTGGTCCCATTAGTCCATCTGGTCCCGTTGGTCCCGTTAGTCCTGCAGGCCCCGTTGGTCCCGTTAGTCCTGCAGGCCCCGTTGGTCCCGTTAGTCCTGCAGGCCCCGTTGGTCCCGTTAGTCCTGCAGGCCCCGTTGGTCCCGTTAGTCCTGCTGGTCCCGTTGGTCCCGTTAGTCCTGCTGGTCCCGTTGGTCCCATTAGTACTGCAGGCCCCGTTGGTCCCGTTAGTCCTGCTGGTCCCGTTGGTCCCGTTAGTCCTGCTGGTCCCGTTGGTCCCGTTAGTCCTGCTGGTCCGTTAGTCCCGTTAGTCCTGCAGGCCCCGTTGGTCCCGTTAGTCCTGCAGGCCCCGTTGGTCCCGTTAGTCCTGCTGGTCCCGTTGGTCCCGTTAGTCCTGCTGGTCCCGTTGGTCCCGTTAGTCCTGCAGGCCCCGTTGGTCCTGTTAGTCCTGCAGGCCCCGTTGGTCCCGTTAGTCCTGCTGGTCCCGTTGGTCCCGTTAGTCCTTCTGGTCCCGTTGGTCCCGTTAGTCCTGCAGGCCCCGTTGGTCCCGTTAGTCCTGCAGGTCTCGTTGGTCCCGTTAGTCCTGCTGGTCCCGTTGGTCCCGTTAGTCCTTCTGGTCCCGTTGGTCCCGTTAGTCCTGCAGGCCCCGTTGGTCCCGTTAGTCCTGCAGGTCTCGTTGGTCCCGTTAGTCCTGCTGGTCCCGTTGGTCCCGTTAGTCCTGCTGGTCCCATTAGTCCTGTTGGTCCCGTTAGTCCTGCAGGCCCCGTTGGTCCCGTTAGTCCTGCTGGTCCCGTTGGTCCCATTAGTCCTGCAGGCCCCGTTGGTCCCGTTAGTCCTGCTGGTCCCGTTGGTCCCGTTAATCCTGCAGGTCCCGTTGGTCCCGTTAGTCCTGCAGGCCCCGTTGGTCCCGTTAGTCCTGCTGGTCCCGTTGGTCTCGTTAGTCCTGCTGGTCCCGTTGGTCCTGCAGGCCCCGTTGGTCCCGTTAGTCCTGCAGGTCTCGTTGGTCCCGTTAGTCCTGCTGGTCCCGTTGGTCCCGTTAGTCCTGCTGGTCCCATTAGTCCTGTTGGTCCCGTTAGTCCTGCAGGCCCCGTTGGTCCCGTTAGTCCTGCAGGCCCCGTTGGTCCCGGTAGTCCTGCAGGCCCCGTTGGTCCCGTTAGTCCTGCAGGCCCTGTTGGTCCTGCTGGTCCCGTTGGTCCCGTTAGTCCTGCAGGCCCCGTTGGTCCCGTTAGTCCTGCTGGTCCCGTTGGTCTCGTTAGTCCTGCTGGTCCCGTTGGTCCCGTTAGTCCTGCTGGTCCCGTTGGTCCCGTTAGTCCTGCTAGTCCCGTTGGTCCCGTTAGTCCTGCAGGCCCCGTTGGTCCCGTTAGTCCTGCAGGCCCCGTTGGTCCCGTTAGTCCTGCAGGCCCCGTTGGTCCCGTTAGTCCTGCAGGCCCCGTTGGTCCCGTTAGTCCTGCAGGCCCCGTTGGTCCCGTTAGTCCTGCTAGTCCCGTTGGTCCCGTTAGTCCTGCAGGCCCCGTTAGTCCTGCAGGCCCCGTTGGTCCCGTTAGTCCTGCAGGCCCCGTTGGTCCCGTTAGTCCTTCTGGCCCCGTTGGTCCCGTTAGTCCTGCAGGTCCCGTTGGTCCCGTTAGTCCTGCTGGTCCCGTTGGTCCCGTTAGTCCTGCTGGTCCCGTTGGTCCCGTTAGTCCTGCTGGTCCCGTTGGTCCCGTTAGTCCTGCTGGTCCCGTTGGTCCCATTAGTCCTGCAGGTCCCGTTGGTCCCGTTAGTCCTGCTGGTCCCGTTGGTCCCGTTAGTCCTGCAGGTCCCGTTGGTCCCGTTAGTCCTGCAGGTCCCGTTGGTCCCATTGGTCCTGCAGGTCCCGTTGGTCCCGTTAGTCCTGCAGGTCCCGTTGGTCCCGTTAGTCCTGCAGGCCCCGTTGGTCCCATTTGTCCTGCAGGTCCCGTTGGTCCCGTTAGTCCTGCAGGTCCCGTTGGTCCCGTTAGTCCTGCTGGTCCTGTTGGTCCCGTTAGTCCTGCAGGTCCCGTTGGTCCAGTTGAGCGGCGAATGCCCGGAAACGCACGAAAAGAAATGGGAAGCATTACTGGTTGTCCAGTTGTGTGTATAGAAGGAACTTATGTACTCTTGTTTCTTAAAGATATTTCCTATCTCTATCCCCCCAAAACAAATTATGAAATAAATTAGAGACGAGTTTGGTGTATTTGTGTATTCACCTGTTGTGCTTGCGGGAGTTGAGCACTGCTCTTTCGGCCTGCCTCTCAACTGTCAATCAACTGTTACTACTATTTTTTTCCACACACACTGTTATGGTGTCCTCTCCTATTTCTGCCCTATTCCAGCGTAAGGAGTCATATCTGCATACCTTACAGGTTCCCTGTACAGCAAGGAACTGCATGTATCTCATGTTTGATACATATCTACATACATGAGATATCTCATGTTTGATACATGAGGCAGCTGGAAAGAGTACGTATTTGTTGAAAAATTTTCGTTTATAAGTTTAACGGGTGAGGGGACTTATGTCCTTATTACATACAAAATGGCGACGAACCTGCCAGTTTGGCGCCAAGACCGTGAGTCAAAGCAGAGTTTAGTGGGCGAAAGAATACCAAGAGCTCATTGCTGTTAGTCTACGACGGAGGTGAGCGGCGACGCTGGGAGGGCAGTGTGAGGCCCCGCGGGTCAAAGAGCAAGGGAGGAAAGCGATCTGCTCAGTGACCACTGGCTGGGCCAGCTTGGAAGAACTAAAATCAGGGATTAGGTACGACGACGACGTGTTTTTCCACGACGCCCGAGGATCTGTGACACACGACCAGAGCGGCGAGGAACGGCCCAGGATATATATATATATATATATATATATATATATATATATATATATATATATATATATATATATATATATTGTGACGGTAACGCGTTGGTGTTCGGCTGTTTAAGGCTAGGGGTATGGCCTCGTCACATAGTTATAAAAAAAAATAGAAAAACTGGAACTTCGTCTGTGGTAAGGTAAGGAGAAGACACACAAAACACAAGTAAACTTTAACAATGAAATTTTAATTACGTTAAATAAATCAAAACATGAAAATAATGCACAAACAAATATGTATAATAAAATCAATGAATCAAAATAATAAGAATACTTAAATGACACAATGAAAAGTTACGTTAAGGCAAAATAATAAGAAGTGCAACACAAAAGTTAAGTGGGAGGTGCTGGAATATTGGCTTAAAGCCACCACCTCTCTCAGTACACGCTAACGTCTAGCTGGGAGGAGTGCTGGCTACGAAAGCACGGAACATTCTGAGGACTGATGTTGGGGCGACCCCAGACATCAGGTAGTATTGGGGGCGAGTGCAGGTGCAGCCAGACCGGCGACCAATCAGCGGAGCCGTAGCGATCAACGGGTAGTTTGGTGGTTGGAGTTCGAACAGGTGGCTGGTTGCATACGTTTCTGCTCACCCTGGCAAGCCTTGCTGGTGCTGGTGTTGTTGTTGGACATTTCTTCCATAGTCTTTTTATATAATTGTGAAGACGTAATTTTGGAGGGAAGAGCAGGCTCAATCTCTTGAAGGAGATTATCGTCACAACTCTCCCCCGAAGCCTGCGGTTCTGGAAGAAGTACGTCGTTATGTGGTGGAGTAATGGATGGAGTCGCTTCTACTTCATAAACTCTGGAGAGGGCATCGGCTATGGTGTTGTCAGAACCCTTGATATAGCGGATCTCCAGGTTGAAGTCTTGTAAATACAGAGCCCATCGTAGAAGACGCTGGTTGGTGAATTGGGCTTGATGTAGGAAGCGGAGAGGGTTGTGGTCTGAGAAGATGGTGGTAGACCTGGCGCCTTGTAGGTACGGAGCGAAGTGTTGGAGGTTCAGGACGATGGATAGTAGCTCCTTTTCAATAGTGCTGTAGTTCCTCTGGTGTGGTTTCAGTTTGTAGCTGTAGTAGCTGACAGGTAGAACCTCCTCGCCTCGTAGTTGCATCAGGACACCACCAACGCCGGTACCACTGGCGTCGACATGAAGGACGAAAGGCTTGGTGATATCTGGAGAGGCGAGAATGGGGTTAGAACAGAGGAGGAATTTGAGTTGTTCGAAAGCAACGGTTTGCTGCATGGTCCAATTATACCGTTGCTTGGGACTGGTTAATAGAATTAGAGGTGTGGCGACTGTACTGAAATTCCTCACAAACCTACGGTAGTAAGAGGCAAGACCAAGGAAGCGCAGGAGCTGCTTCCTGGTGGTAGGCTGTGGATACTGTAGGATGGCTTGAGTGTGTGAGTCTAACGGAGCTATGCTGCCACTCCCAATAACATGACCCAGATAACGCACTTTACCTTTCGCGAAAGTGGACTTGCCCAGGTTGATGGTGAGGCCGGCTGTCAGGAGCTTGGAGAACAGACGTCGCAGCTGGAGCAGATGTTCACTCCAGGAGTTGGAGGCTACGACGATATCGTCCAGGTAGGCGTATGTGTTATCCAAGCCCTGGATGACACGGTTGACAGCTCTTTGAAAGGTGGCCGGGGCATTACATAGTCCGAAAGGAAGGCGTTCATATCTGAAAAGTCCAAAAGGAGTGATGAAGGCAGATATCTCTTTAGCGCGCTCCGTTAGACACACTTGATAGTACCCCTTAAGCAAGTCCACTTGGGACAAGTACTGGGCACTACCAATGGCATCAAGGATGTCATCTATCCTTGGCAAGGGGTAAGCATCCTTGACAGTGACAGAGTTCAGTTTTCGATAGTCAGTGCACAACCGCACCTTACCTTGGGGTTTGGGCACCAAGATACAAGGTGAGGCCCAGGGGGACTCACAAGGTGTAGCCAGTCCATGATCCAAGAGGTATTGCACCTCAGCACGCATGACTTCCTTCTTGCTCGGGCTGATTCGGTAGAAGGGTTGACGAATCGGCCGGGTGTCGGGGAGCAGTTGGATGTCGTGCTGGGTAACATTACACTCTTGGGGATCATCTCTGAACAACTCTTGATGTTCTCTGAAGATCTTGACGAGAGGTGCACTATGATTATCCTGAAAGTATTTGGGAAGATCATTAAGGATTTCGGAATTAGAAAGCGCTGACTCCTTGTCAGTGCTTTCGGGAGGAGAAGCTGGGAAGGTCTCACTGTGGATGTAGGGTTCTGTGAATGTGGAATAATTAGTCAAGACAGTGGGAGGAGTACCATTATATTGCTTCAGGAGGTTGACGTGGCACAGCTGGGTCTTCCGCCGCCTATCTGGAGTCTCTATCACATAATTATTATTATTCCTGCACTCTTTGACGCAGTAGGGTCCTGAAAATCTGTTTTGTAAAGGTGAACCTGGGATAGGGAAATAAGCAAGGACGAAGTCTCCCGGCTTGAATTTTCTTACTTTGCTGGTCTGGTCGTAATGAGTCTTCATTCTCACCTGGGCTTTCAATAGATTATCATGGGCAAAGCGGTGGACTCTCTCTAGAATGTGCTGAAGGTTTTGAAGAAACTGGGGCACATTCTGATGCTCACTGAAGGTGGCATCTCTGAGAGAGTCTTTGAAAGCCTTAAGGGGAGTACGGCACTTACGGCCGTAGAGCATCTCATAAGGAGATACTCCTAGGGACTCATTGGGGAGACTTCTGAAAATACACATTATTAGGTCAATCTGCTTATCCCAATCCTTTGAGGTTTCACTACAAAACTTTTTCAAGAGTGCTTTGATGGTCTGATGACTACGTTCAAGAGAACCCTGTGAAGCAGGATGATAGGGGCTGGACAATACCTGTTTGATGTTGAACTCCTCCAGTGTCCTTTTGAAGAGATCACTGGTGAAGTTGGTGCCACAGTCACTTTGAATCTCCCTGGGAAATCCGTATTGAGTGAAGATCTTCAATAGATGTTTGATAACCGTAGCAGCCGTGATGTTCTTCACTGGAACTGCTATGGGAAATCTGGTGGTAGGACACAGGATGGTTAGGATGTAGGCGTTACCTGAACTGGTCCGAGGTAAAGGACCAACACAGTCTATTATGAGTCTGTGGAAAGGTTCCGCAGGCACCTGTATGGGAATCAGTGGTGCTCTGGGAATGGAGACGTTCGGTTTGCCTGCCATCTGACATGTATGACACTGTTTTACGTACTGTTTGACGTTGTTTACCATACCTGGCCAGTAGTAGTCTTGACGAATCCCATGGTAAGTCTTGTTGAAGCCGTAGTGGGAGAATGCTCCGTGGGCCAGGTGTAGAATAGTGGGCCGCAGGCTGGTGGGAATCACAAGTTGTTCGGTGTTGGCCCAATCGTCCTCCTCCTTCAGTTTACTGGGTCTATATCTGCGGTAGAGCAAGTCGTTCTCTAGGAAGAACCCAGGAATA